TCCTTAATATTTGACTTTCTTGCTTCCTCAAGAAGCAGGAATTGCTAATCTTCAGTCACTTGCTTTGAGCACAGTCTGCAGCTCAAACCACAGCACAAACAGCGGCAGAAAGGGGTGACAGACAGGGACCAGTGTTTGTGGCCTGCAGTGGGATCCCTCTGACTGACTGGGGATGGAGCAGAGAGTTTTCCAGCTCAAATCCTTGTGAATTTATGCTGAGACCATTAAAGGAAGGTGGGAGGAGGAATGGCTTGGCATGGCTGCTTCCTTGTGGTCAGCACCCAGCAGTGTAGATTAGCTCTGGGGTCTGGATGGGGATGAGCATCCTCCTTCTGACAACCGCGTCCCTTTGGAATGTCTGAAGCTGAATATTCAAATCCTTTGGTCTCCCAGCATGGACTGTGAGGCTGGGACAGACTCTGGAGTGACACTGCCCTTGCTGCAGAGGGGATCCTGTTGCTGTGCCCTCTGTGCCCAGGGCAGAGGGAGAGCAGCAGAGCAGCCACTCTGCCCCAAACACGTCCCTGGTGCCTGCAGGCTGTGCCTGCGGGCTCGGAGGGACACAATGCAGCACAGAGGGACAATGAGTGCCTCTAAGTGCGGCCACAAAGCCACAGCAGCCCAGTGTGCTGCCGGACAGAGGGGCTGTGAAAACAGAGCCTCACCAGGGAGAAACGCTGCCAAGCCTGCCCAGAGCACAATCAACAAACCCCAGCTGGAAGATGGGGTGGAAAGGGGAGTAAAGGAGAGCGGGATGGAGGAGGAAAAAAAAGGCGTTCCCCAGGGGCACTTTGCAGGAAAAAAAAAAGCGGTTATCTTCATTTTAGTGCCTTCTTGAGAACTGAGATATCAGCACAGCCAGCACAGCACTGCAACACAAGTAAATGCAGCTGCTGAATAAAATTAAACCCCTCATAAAAAATAAAAATGAAAAAGGAGAATCCAGGTATTTTGCTTTACATTCACCTGGAGAGCAGTCGTGCTGTGATGTCTCCTCTCATGACTCCTTTGCCTTTCTGTCTTAGCACAGGGTGCTGGATGTGAAGATGCCTTAAAGGATGGGATATATGTAATGGAGCACAAGGATGCAGAATTACTCTTTAAATAGAGTGCTCCCCTACTTGGAGCAGCACTTACAACCCCAGCTCAGTGCTGGGTTACCTCTGAGGTACCTGCAGGTGACTGTCTCCTCCTGAGGGGAGCATCCCTGAAATCCCAGTGGTTTACTGGCTGGCACGAGTCCTGCAGACTGGGAAAGGGGGTACTCCTGCCATCCCTGCGCTGGTGTCACACACGGCCGTGCTGGTCCGGGCCTGGAACGGCTCCTCCGGCAGGACAGGGCTGGGAGAGGCTCCCAGCAGCACGGGCAAGCAGCACCCTCTGCTGCTGGCACTGCCGGCTCTGGGCTTGCAGAGAGCGGCTGAGGGAAGGCACCCGCAGCGATTCCTCTGCAAACCAGGGCTGCTCTGGGTGCTGGACACTGAGCAGGGGCTGCTCTGGGTGCTGGACATTGAGCAGTCTCAGCTCTGTGTGCTGGACACACTTGGACACTCAGCAGGGTCAGCTCTCTGTGTTGGACACTGAGCAGGGGCTGCTCTGTGTGCTGGACACTCGGACACTCGGCTCTTGCAGGAAATTCTGTGTGAGAGAGCAGGGCCAGCTCCTCACCATGGGGACAGCTGGGGCAGCAGCTGGCACAGAGCTCATCACTGCAGCACTGGTGCCAGGCCAGCCCTGCATTGCTGCAGCACCCTGTGCCACCTCAGCATCACCCTGTGCCACCTCTGCATCACTGCAGCACCCTGTGCCACCTCAGCATCACTGTATCACCCTGTGCCACCTTTGCATCACTGCAGCACCCATGCCAGCCCTGCATTGCTGCCAGCCAGGCCTGTGAGTGGCAGAGCCCCTCCAGCTGCATGCAGGGAAACCAGCACGTGTGCATCAGCAGGAGTGCAGCAAATGTCTGATTTAAGTCCTGCCACACTCCCTTGCCAGCCCCGGGATACAGCTCAGCTCAGCTGCAGCCCTGAGCTCACAGAGGACAGCTCAGAGGCAAACATGCAGCTCTGTGAGCTCTGTGCTGTGGTGACAGTGTCCATGGAAATGCAACACGCAGTAAATGAGGATCAGCGAGGCCTTCCTGAGGCCTGGCCATTCCAGGGCCCTGCACAGCACTGCGTGATTCCATCTCCTCACCTTAAAAGGGCTTTGGCTGCTCCTTGTTTTGGAAAGTCCTGGCCTTCTCTGGATGAGACACCAAAAAAAAAGGGAAAAAAAAAAAAAAGCAAGAGTCAGAGTGAACATTTAATACTGCAGTGACATTGTCCACTTTGCACAACTAAAACCCTAAAACTTCACTCAGCAGGAAGTGCTTCCCATCTCTGGTAGAAATTAAAAAGACACTTCTTGTTAAAAACAATTTATTTTTTATAAATATAATTCTTTATTCATTAAACAATATGAAAAGAATCACAAAACTTTACTCATAGGAAAAAAAAAGATTGTACAATTTGATTTATAAAAGCTGAAGTGAAAAATGAGTTATTTCCAGTGTTAGCTTTCAGTAAAACATATAATCATACCATTGAATTGTCGGAATGCACTTGACATTAAAAAAATGAATAAAAATTAGTATCAATAATCACTTATGGGAGAAACAGACTGTAAGAAGTTACTCCATGGAGCTACCTTTGCAAAGAAAGGTTAATACAAGCTCTCAAGAAGGTGCACACCTTCTATTAATAACTTTCACAAAATAAAAATAGCCCTGCATCCTTGGCCTACAGCCCAGTGGATTGCTACCATTCCTCCTCATCAGATTTGCTGCTCATTTAACCCTTCTTCCCATCCAGTCTCTCTCTCTCCAGTCATAAATTTTGTGTATTCAAAAATATTTGGTTTTCATTTAGCAAATGCTAAGAATTAAAGAGTTTAACAGAAATTGTCTGTGTGGAAAAAAAATACACTTTGGAAAAATCTCCCAAATAGCTCCATTCACCAAGGAAAACATGGAAACTTTAATGAATTTTAATAAAATCTCAGATAAATTTTGGGGTGACCCACTAGATAGAGACTTCACAAATAAACCCTATTTTCACCTGCAAAGAACAGTAGCTCCCTGGGGAAAAGCCCATGTGCTTATTTCAAAGTGCAAATGAACTTTTCAGTGTTCATTTCAAGAGATGCCCGCCACATATTACCAAGCAAGTGTGCAAAGATAGAAAACTCTAATGCCACAGTCACCTGTAAGACAGGAATAAACTCTGTTATTCATAACAATATAGCTACTCTCTCATAGGTCACTTTTGCATTAAAACTTGTTCCCTCACACCAAATACAAAATAACTGGAATGAAATTAACACAGGCATTTTTGTTTAAAAATAAAAGATTTCTCTGCTAGCTAAACCCAGCAATTCCTCAGAGCACCAAGCTTTCCCTCAGTAATTATTGCACTCTCAGGTTTACATTCACCTGGAGAGCAGAGCTGTGCCATACTCTCAGAGTATTATTTCCAGAGCCCCAACACATCCAGGGTCACACATCCACGTGCACACCACCATCACTGCCCTGAGACCAGGGCCTGGCCCAGCCAGGCTGAGCAGGGCAGGGATCAGTGTGGTACTGTTGTCTTTTAGCCTGAGAATTACATTAAATTAGACAGAATTTGGCAGGCAGTTGATTTAACAAGTCCCCCGAAGTGCCTGTGAGGTAGTTACATGCCAGTAAGCACAAACAGGGAAACTGAGGCACTTCAAGGTGAAGTCGTTTGTCCAAAGTCTCAGTGAGAAGCCAGAGCAGAGCCAGAAAGGTCACACTGGGCTCGTGGCTGCTTGTGGCTCTTGCTGAGCTCTGAACACAGAGGCCAGCTCACCAAGGCTCAAACACCAGAGGTGTGCAGGCCAGAGAACCCAGAGCAGAACCAGAAAGGGCACACTGGGCTCATGGCTCCTCCTGAGCTCCAAACACAGAACACAGGCTCAAACACCAGAGGTGTGCAGGCCAGAGAACCCAGAGCAGAACCAGAAAGGGCACACTGGGCTCATGGCTCCTCCTGAGCTCCAAACACAGCCCAGCTCACCCAGGCCCAAACACCAGAGGTGCAGCAGGCCATGGATCCCCCTGAAGGCCGGAGGTGTCAGGGATGGAGCTGCTGCTGGCACCGCAGGAACAAGGACATCGTGTGTGACAATCCAGGCTGTAAAGGCCATGCAGACAAAGGAGGAGGGACACTGCAGCATCACCCCATCAGAGCCTCATAATCGACGTACCAGACGAGCTGGCCGGAGCTGGGGCTGACCCCCGAGATGGGCCACTTGTGGGGCTCGCGGCCCACCCTGCTG